TAAATACTGTGAGGCGCGGTACAATTACCACCGCTGATGACGGAAGCCTGTACGCTTCTGAAACATCAGGACGATAAAACAATGGTTCCCGAGATCGCCTTGTCTTCTCATTTATGTCAGGGGACGCGCATCTTTGCTTCTTTTAGCAATATATTAACATGGATGAAGATACGATGTCCAGATAACTTATCTCATTTATTGTCCCCAAAGAAGGTGAAGAAGAAAACAAGGCACCTTCATGGTCTAAGAGTTTCGGTCTCAAAAAATTTGAATTTGTGGCTGAGTCTCGTCAAACGGGTCGCGCACTGACAACTGGCGCATGTTCGGTAACTAGCGTATTGGGAAGTCTTCCAGTTTTTCCGACCTAGTTGTTTTGGCCGCAATTGCAACGGATCCAATAGAGGGCTCCAGATGTTTCTTGCCTTCGTAATGGATGTTTTGATTTCATTACCTGACGCCTACTGACTGCATGTGTGCGACTTCAACTCCACGTAGTGTGATTAATTATTGACGGATTGTTGAATACGCCTTTCGTTGTCATCCTGTATAACTCCACTACCCGCTGGTTTATAGCATCTCTCGTGTAAAAAAGTGGTCGGTTGATGCTGTGGTTGATTGAGTCGGCGGCTGCAGTTTGCTCTCTGCCCGGCCAAGCAGTTGGACACCGTCAACCTCCGACTGGAGATTATTTCTGCAAACGGCGCATGCTGATGTGCAGTCGTATATGTTTTCGTTTAGGGCCAAAGCATGCTCAGGCATGCACGTTCTCAGTCGTTTTTCTGGTCACGCCGCGGCAGTTGGTCGGACAGTCTGGACAGACGAAGCGGCAAATGACGCGTGCCGTGTCTGTAGGTGGTAGCCGACTCTTCAACCGCATGCGTAAGCGGTGACTAGTGGCCGGTGTCCAACGCCCACATTTAGCAGTGCTAGCATGCACGCAGTGGCTGTTGGAGACGTGTCTTTGTTTGTTCTCACCGTTGGATAGCTTCTCGGTCTCTATGCTGTAGTGCGCGCTGATGCATAGGACGACTTTCCGGACGCAAATGCGTTTATGCGACAAGAGGTGGTTGTTTTTGTCGTCCACCCCATAGCAGAGAACTTGCCGG